GAAACAACGAAAAGTTCAAAACAGCTAAAAATAAAGCAATATAACATACAAGTGGATAAAAAGTGGAAGTATTCCTATTGGCTGGCCACTGATTGAGTGTTTCAATGCATTCAGAAGCATGAGCACATTATCCTGCTGTATTCATGGCTGACTTTCTCCAAAGAGAGTAATGCTTGAAAGTAACATGTCACAAGCAGCAAGCTCCTTATAATTAATTTTGTTTTGCAGTAACATAGGCACCTTCTGCACTGCCATATAATCCAGATTATCAAATCAGATAATCCATATTATCTTCTTTGAACTGGATTAGATGAGTCTACACTGCCATATAATCCAGTTCAAAGCAGATAATCTGGATTTTATATGGTAGTGTAGAAGGGGCCTTAGGTATCATCATTGTAAATTAAGAAATTTGTGTGCTTTCCAGGCTGTATGGCCATGTTTCAGAAGCATTCTCTCCTGACGTTTCGCCCACATCTATGGCAGGCATCCTCAGAGGTTGTGAGGTCTGTTGGAAACTAGGACAATGGGGTTATATATCTGTGGAATGTCCAGGGTGGGAGAAAGAACTCCTGTCTGTTTGAGGTAGGTGTGAACGTAGCAATTGTCCACCTTGATTAGTATTTAATGGCCTAGCGGTTTTCAAGGCCTGGCTTCTTACTGCCCAGAGGAATTCATGTTGGGAAGTGATTAGCTGGCCCTGATTGTTTCTTGTCTGGAATTCCCCTGTTTTCAGAGTGTTGTTCTTTATTTACTGTTAGGATTTTGGATGTTTTTTTTAAACACTGGTAGCTGGATTTTGTTCATTTTCATGGTTTCTTCCTTTCTGTTGAAATTGACCACATGCTTGTGGATTTCAGTGGCTTCTCTGTGTAGTCTGACATGGTAGTTGTTAGAGCGGTCCAGCATTTTTGTGTTCTCCAATTATATACCATGTCCAGGTTGGTTCATCAAGTGCTCTGCTATAGCTGACTTCTCTGGTTGAAGTAGTCTGCAGTGCCTTTCATGTTCCTTGATTCATGTTCGGGCATTATTGCTGCATTTGGTGGCCCCTATGTAGACTTGTCCACAGACTTCTCCTGGACATTCCACAGATATATAACCCCATTTTCCTAGTTTCCAACACAGCTTACAACCTTTGAGGATGCCTGTCATAGATGCAGGCGAAACGTCAGGCAAGAATGCTTCTGGAATATGGCCTTACAGCCCAGAAATTGCACAACAACCCAATGATTCCGGCCATGAGAGCCTTCGACAATATATTAAGAAAGGATCCTTTCACTGCTTTTGTAGTTTAACTGTAATCATACTTTTATAATTACACTATATTTATATATTGTAAGGTGACTTCAATTCTTACATGTGCATTATAGCCAACCGCTTTCAGCATTTTCATGGGGTTTTTAAGCATCTAAAAGTAACCATTTCAGTTATTTTTGAATGATGAGGAACTGAAGCAATATCGTTTTTAAAAGCAAAATTGACAGGCTTCCCCCTATTTCTTTTTGTAGTTCAAATATTACATGTGGTTCAATAGTGACGCAGGCAAGGATTTGACCAGCTTCACCCTACTTTTTATATCACAGCTCCAAGAATGTTATGATATTGCTTTGCCTTGAAAACTTACCAAGATCTAGCTAAGGAAAAGGTCCCTTCTGAGTCTCTGGAGCCGAATCTACACTTGCAAAAAAATGTGTCCTTACCTCGATCCTGGTCCTGGTTGAAAACACAATGTTCATCTGGGTTTTGAAGTGAACATATTTTTAAAATGACACTTAAGGACCTTAATGACATTTAAAAACAACTTTTTTACTTCCTCGGTTTCTAGGAATAACAGACATTTTAATTAGCATGTTCTGCTTCCTGAATCGACATTGGGGTGGAAATGGGGGTTGGGTTGGTGGAGGGCAGGCAAGTTGGTGGGTGGTTACTTTGGCATCCTCATTCAGCAAGCGTGGTGTCGCCATTCTTTTTAACACTGAAGTGTATGTATGAAGATATTTGCATTTTGGAATACGTGAAGGTCTCAGATTCTGTGTTTGCTGCATGTGTGTTACATTCTATTCAGTTCAATAGGAAGTTAAGACCGGGTTCTAGTCTTGGTAAAGAATATGTGTGCAGATAGTCATACAGTGTTCCCTCGCTACTTCGCGGTTCGCTTTTCGCGGACTCGCTGTTTTGTGGGTTTTTGCGGTACTCATTCTGCACATGCGTAGTACACCCAACATTGGTCCGCGGAGCTGCAGTGGTTGTCAATTCCAGCTTGTTTACCCTACCGGGCCGCCAATGAGGTTCAGAGGTGAGGCCGCCCGCCATTTTATGAATGGTTGCCATTGCCCAGAGCGGCCTTCTAATCCTGCCTCCTCTCAATGATGGAGTGTGGAAGGGGCTTTCGCCCCCCTCAGAAGAGAGGCAGCCAATAAAGGTGGCTGTGATTTACATACTGTTTTGAGGAGTGTTTTCATTCATAAAAAAAGAGAGGAGACACAAAGCGCTATATAAATCACAACCTTATAGCCCCTTCCTTATTGTTAGCACAAATAAAAAGGTGTGCAATGCCTTTAATGCTCTCCCCACTCCTGCCTCATTCTCGGAACATGAGATATGTATGTGTGCATATGTGTATGTGTGAAAATGTGTGTATATATAATCCCTACTTTGCGGATTTTCACTTATTGCGGGTGGTCCTGGAACACATCACCCGCGATAAGTGAGGGAACACTGTATATTCAAATACTTGTGAAGAAAAGAAAAGCAGGATGAGAAACTATGGTAAAGGCTCCATATACAGGCCAGCCAATGGGAGGGAAGGTGGTAGTAAAAGTGACAGGAATTCAAGAAAGGTTGTTGATTTATATATGTGTGTGTGTGTGTATAAGGTAAAGGTTTCCTATTAACATTAAATGTAGTTGAGTCCGACTCTAGGGGGTGGTGCTCATCTCCATTTCTAAGTCAAAGAGCTGGCATTAAACAGAGGCTGGATGGCCATCTGTCAGGGGTGATTTGAATGCAATATTCCTGCTTCTTAGCAGGGGGTTGGACTGGATGGCCCATGAGGTCTCTTCCAACTCTTTCATTCTATGATTCTATGATTGTCCCTAGATGTCTTGTAGGTCATGTGGCCAGCGTGACTGCATTGCCTTCCAGCCAAAGTGGTTCCTATTGATCTACTCACATTTGTATGTTTTCAAACTGCTAGATTGGCAGAAGCTGGGGCTAACAACAGGAGCTCACCCTGTCCTGTGCATTCGAACTGCCAACCTTCCAGTCAGCAAATTCTGCAACTTTAACCCGCTGTGTCACTGTGGCTCTCTCTCTCTCTCTCTCTCTCTCTATATATATATATATATATCCATATGCAAACTGGGAAGAAAAAACGCTACAACTGCTGTGGTTGTGTGACTTAAAATAATCTGATACAGTGAACATAGTAGAAATGCAGTTTTGTACCAATGTGAATTCTGGGTGGAGTAATTGTGTGGCTTCAAGTCCAGTTTGAGCTTGGATTAAACTGGGTGAGTGTGATGTTAACAGGATCGAACCAGGGCAGGATATTGTATACTGGAGCTGGACTATAGTCCTCAAGGATTCAACCTGGATCCTAATCACTCTGTAGTTTATCTCCCTTGCCTGCCATCCCACATCCTAAAATGTGCCTTGTTTTGTGTTTCTTTTGGGTTTTTTTCTTTGTTGCTGTGAGTATAAAAGGCAGAGTATAGGTTTAGAATATGCGTGATAAACAGAATAGAGAGGAACATGGATAAAGAGAAGCATTTGTTTGTGCAAAATAAGTATATACTGCTTTAGACAAGAACAACAAATTAGCTTGCAAAGCAGTTGGAATAAGATTTCAATAGAGAACCAGTGCAGTCCAACTCACACTTACTGAACGACACAACAAAAACAAATACAATCCAGTTTGTAAAGACAAGAAGAAGGCTTTCTGAAAGACAGCATAATTCATGTGACAGAATCATAATATTTGAAAGTAAATAAAACTGAACTTAAATAATATGGGTAAATGTTACATCTGTGGATCACCATCACCATGTATCCTATTTGAGAGGTCAACCATTTGCAAATAGAAGTGGGGAATGACCTTTCCATTTCTGCATATTTGTTGAAGTGAGGAGTTTGAAAGTACATGACCAAAGCTTGCAAAATGAGAGATGGGGAAGAATAATGCAGATGACTTGATCATCCTTGTAGACATTTGGACATTTCTGTTCTGCTGCTGCAGTCAATGCAATTTATCAATTCTCAACATGCTTGCCCACCTCTTTCCCTTTATTCTATACTATTCTTCTCTCCATCCTCTTCCTTCCCCACTCCTCACCCCCCTCTCCTAACCCTCTCATCTTGACCTTCTGGTGAGACCATCAGGAAGTATGGGGGGATGAATAAGAAGGAAATATCAGAATGGTCGGATGTAACTATATTTAACTTTCAGGAATGGCTCCTGATTTCCCAGTGCTGGTTCTTTCTTATCTGGCTATTGCACCTTGAGGAATGACCAACATTCTTGAAGAGCAGGTCAAACTTGGTCATGGGGCAGGGGGAAAGGGTCTGTTTCCTCCTTTTAGTCTGAATAGTTTGGTCTTTTGTGAGAGCTCGGAAAAGTTTATTTCCTCTTTTTTAAATCCAGAGTCCCACATTCTCCAGCTATGGCTATTCTGGTTGGGAAATTTAAGGAATTGGAGTCCCAAACAGTAACATTTCCAAGCTCTGCTTATTATGTCCTTGAAAGAAACAGAATTTTAAAAATAAAACATTTTATCAAATGTTACGCCTTCACAGGTTACAGAAATGTGCCCTAACGTTTTCCTATCAAGACCTGGGATAAGATGGAGCAACGAGTCATAGAAGACAATATATATCTAAGCAACTTCTCCTCCTTTCCCATTTCACTCTTTATTTAGCTGCCTATGCCTTTTTAAGACCTTGCCAGTCCAGATCTATGACACTTTCCTGTACTTTCTTTTTTTTTCTCTTTCTCGCAGGATGGGTCCCGCCAGCGTCCCCTTCAACAGAAGAAGAAGACTGTCTCCTTCAGCACCATGCCCAGCAACCGCAAACTCAGCAGCACTGCTGCCTGCATTTCCTTCATGCTTGAGGGCTGTGAAATGAAGAAGGTGCGTTCCAACTCTCGCATGTACAGCCGATTCTTTGTACTGGACACAGACTTGCGCTTCATGCACTGGGAACCTTCTAAGAAGGACTCGGAAAAAGCCAAGATTGAGATCAAGTCAGTGAAGGAAGTACGGGTTGGGAAGAAAACACCTGTGCTGCGCTCCAATGGTCTCTCAGATCAGTTCCCAGATGAATGTGCCTTCTCCATCATCTATGGAGACAACTATGAGTCCTTGGATCTGGTGGCCAGTTCAGCTGATGTGGTGAATGCATGGGTAATGGGTCTGCGGTATTTGGCCTCTTATGGGAAGCACACCCTGGAGGAGACCCCTGAGGCTGGACACCCAAATCCCCGCACCTCCTGGGTCTCCTCTGTCTTTGAGATTGCGGACCTACAGAAAGAAGGCCGCATCCCAATTTCCCGGGCTGTGCAGCTCATCCGAGCACTTAACCCTGGCATGAAAGTCTCAACAATTGAACTGAAGTTCAAGGAACTGCAGAAAGCAGCCCTTGAGCGAGTTGGAGAAGAAGTGAACTGTGAGGTCTTTGTGGAAGCCTACTGTGAGTTGTGCACCAGGCCAGAGGTTTTCTTTCTCTTGGTCCAGTTTTCCAGCAACAAGGAATACATGGGCCTGAAGGACTTAATGAGCTTTTTGGAAGCAGAGCAGGGCATGGAAGGGGTGACGGAGCAGATGTGCAGGGATATCATCACCAAATATGAGCCATCCAAGGAAGGACGAGAAAAGGGCTACTTGGCTGTTGATGGCTTTACTCGCTACCTCCTCTCTGCAGACTGTGACATATTTGACCCACAGCACCGCAAAGTCTGTCAGGACATGAGCCAGCCACTGTCCCATTACTTCATTAGCTCAGCACATGGAGCATGTCTGGCAGAAGACAGCTGTTTTTGGGGTGGCTCAACTTCAGACATTGGGGGTTATGTGGCAGCTCTCAAGGCCGGTTGCCGTAGCTTGGAACTAGTGGTGGGTGATGGTCCATCTGGAGAGCCAGTAGTTGGTGCCGGGACACGCCTGGCTTTCTCCAGGGTGGTGAGTGCTGTTGCTGAGCATGCTTTTGAGAGCTCAGAATTTCCTCTCATCCTGTGCCTGTCTGTGCGCTGTTGTGTAGCCCAGCAGAGGCTTGTGGCTGAACACCTGAGGAAGACCTTTGGAGACAAGCTGTACATAACACCCCCCAACTCCAATGAGGTCTATCTTCCTTCTCCAGAAAAACTCAAGGGATACATTCTCATCAAAAGCCGGAAGCTACATCCCAGCTGCCAATTGAGTGAAGGGGATGTCTCTGATGATGAGGAGACTATCGAGCTGGGTTTGCCACTTAGTGAGGAGCACCAGGATCAGCCCCGCTGCCGGCAGGTCTTATGCCGTGAGCTCTCCGATCTAGTGAGCTTGTGCCAGACAGTGACTTTTCAGAGTTTTGAGTCCTCCCGGCGGGGCCAGTCCTATTGGGAGGTTTGCTCCTTTAGTGAGGTGGAGGCCGGTCGCTATGCCAATGAGGAGCCAGAGGATTTTGTGGCCTATAACAAGCGCTTCCTGTCACGAGTTTACCCCAGCCCCATGCGCATTGATGCCAGCAATATGAACCCTCAGGACTTCTGGAAGTGTGGCTGCCAGATGGTTGCCATGAATTACCAGACACCAGGCCTCATGATGGACCTGAATGCTGGCTGGTTCCGTCAAAATGGCGGTTGTGGCTATGTGCTCAGGCCTGCCATTATGCGGGAGGAAGTATCCTATTTCAGTGCAAACACTAGGGACACCTTACCTGGTATCTCAGCTCAATTGTTGCACCTCAAGATCATCAGTGGTCAAAATCTGCCCAAACCAAAGGGCTCTGGGGCCAAAGGTGATGTGGTGGAGCCATATGTTTGTGCAGAGATGCATGGTATTCCTGCTGACTGTGCTGAAAAGCGCACCAAAACAGTGGTGCAAAGTGGTGACAATCCAGTCTTTGAAGAGACTCTGGAATTCCAGGTGAACCTCCCTGAACTGGCGATCCTCCGGTTCATGGTGCTAGATGATGATTACATTGGAGATGAGTTCATTGCACAGTACACCATCCCCTTTGAGTGCCTCCAGATGGGCTACCGTCATGTTCCTCTTCAGTCCCTCGCTGGCGAGCCTCTTCCCAATGCTACCTTGTTTGTCCATGTGGCCATCACCAACCGGCGGGGTGGAGGCAAAGCACACCGCCGGGGGCTATCAGGACGCAAGGGGAGGCGCTTGCGAGAGTATACATCCACCAAGGCCATGGGAATCAAGGCCATTGATGAGGTGTTCCGCACTGCCACACAGCCACTGCGAGAGGCCACAGACCTGCGGGAGAACATGCAGGTACCCAGGTAGTGGGAGATGGGGCTTCTGAGTTTGGTTTGCTTGGATTTGGGGGGAAGCGGTATGTCCTGGATTTTGAACTAAGCTAAGAGACTTTTATGAAGCCAGTTAAAATTTCATGACCCCCCCCCCTCGTTTTGGGGAACTTCATTCCTTTGATGTTGACAATGGATTCTGGGAATCATTACCCAGAAAAAGTCACATTTCCAGACTCTGGCTGAGTTTTGAAGAGTAATAGAGGTTCCTGATCATCTGTCTTTGATCTGGTACAGCAATCATGATACTGTTTGTGCTGATAGCAGCCAAAGAGAGTTGTGGGTCAAGGCATCTGGGCGCCCTTCCACACAGTCCTATATCCCAGAATATCAAGACAGAAAATCTCACATTATCTGAGTGTGTACTCAGATAACCCAGTTCAAAGCAGATATTGTTGAATTTTCTGCCTTGATATTCTGGGATATAGGGCTGTGTGGAAGGGCCCTGGAAGAGAAGGCAGCAGTTTGAAAGAGTCTGCTACAGAGGGAGTTGAAACAGAACTGCAGCAAATGGTTGAATGTACCCTGCATGTGGAATGAGTCTGACATGTTAATGCATGAGGGAAATAGAGAAAGGAGACTGGTGGGTTTTCATAGGAAGCTGCCTTGTATCAAGTCAGATTAGTTGACTATTGACCTCTTATTGCCTACTATGAATAGTAAAATCTTTTTGAAATTTCAAGCAGAATGTATTTTCCATCACCTAAAAGCTCATTTGTAGTGTAGACACCAGGGATTGCATCCTCTCTGTCTTCTATGGAAAGCCTATACTCTGTCAATGAATTGTATTCTCTGCCCAAGCAGGGCATAAACTCCAAGCTGAAATTTGGTGCCATCAGCATGCCTAGCTCCATCTTTATTTGTGGTAACTGGGCCACATTGTGTCTATTTGTTTATGCAGTGGGCCCTCCACTTTCATAAGCATTAGGGATGGAGTACTCCTACAAAATCTGTAGGTTCTCCAGTGCAACTTTATAGATAGTAAAGGTAAAGGTTTCCCCCTAACATTAAGTCCAACTCTAGGGTGTGGTGCTTATCTCCATTTCTAAGCCGAAGAGCCAGAGTTGTCCGTAGACACCTCCGAGGTCATGTGGCCCGCATGACTGCATGGCACATCGTTACCTTCCCACCAGAGCGATACCTATTGAGCCACTCACATTTGCATGTTTTCAAACTGCTAGGTTGGCAGAAGCTAGGTCTGATAGCAGAAGCTCACACCACTCCCCGGATTTGAACCTGGGACCTTTTGATCAACAAGCTCAGCAGCTCAGCGCTTTCACCCACAGGAGCTCCAACTTTATAGCTTCTACGGAAATTAGCCATAGAGTTGCACTAGAGGATTTAGAGATTCCTAGAGAGGATGTATTAATCAAATCTAGAAAAAGATAAACCCACAAATGTGGCGTGCCAACTGCAGCAGCAAATGAAATGAAGTCTACAGATTTGTTGTGCCTGATATCCTCTCATCCTTCTTTCAGGCTAGAAATTGAGAAGGGAGGATGATGGATAGTCTTTACCTAATTGCTGTGAAATTCTGTGTGATGTCAGATAGACTATCATCCTTCCCAAGGAAAGGGAGAAGAATGGACAAAGCCAGCCAAAATTTGTGCATCTCTATTAATGTTAGGGGGTGGGGTCTAGAAGGTTGATACTTTCCTTATTTCTCTTTCTTCTTCCAGAATGCTTTGGTTTCCTTCAAAGAACTATGTGGCTTAACACCAGCAGCCAACATTAAGCAGTGCATCCTAAAGTTGGCCACGTGGCTTCAGCCTAGCGAAAAAGAGAGCCCCCCGGCAGTCACCTTGAATCTAGGAGAGGAGTACCCATCCATGGAAGCCCAAGGGCCTGTCCCACAACTCCTGAGGAAAGTGCTTGCTGCTTTTGACACCGTAAGTTCAGTCACCCAAATCTGCTTTCCACAGATTTCTGGATTTCTGAACCTTCAAAGGTTGTATTCATCCTATTCCAAATTTGTTTCTTGCTACCTTGAGTCAGGAGAAAAATGAGATGAAAATCAATCAGCCAGTTAAACAATCAATCAACCTGATGAAACAATGGGAATGCAGGAAAGGTTTAATTGAAGAATAGCATCCCTTGGAGGTTTTTGGATGACAAATTTCATAAGTCGTAGCCATTATAAGTAAGGGAATAAGCAAAAGTTACAGTAAAGGAACGACTGAATGGCTAAACTTTCCCCAGCTTTAAATTTTCTATAAAATTCCCTTCTTTTCTATTTTATGTATTATCAGAATATAACATTGCATCTCAAACTTCAGCTGGGCCAAGTTTCATGAATTTTGGAAGCTGAACATCAAAACATCTGGATCATCACATTCTGAGGACCCTTCTACACTGCCATATAAAATCCAAATTATCTGCTTTGAACTCAATTATATCGCAGTGTAGACGCATATAATCCAAAGCAGATAATGTGGATTATTTGATTTGATAATCTGGATTATATGGCAATGGGGAAGAGACCTGAGACCCACTTCTACTTTGTCTACTCAGATAGGCTTCAGGGAGCCTTTCCACACAGCCCTATATCCCAGAATATCAAGGCAGAAAATCCCATATTTTCTGCTTTGAACTGGAATACATGACAATGTGGACTCAGATAACCCAATTCAAAGCAGATATTGTGGGATTTTCTGCCTTGATATTCTGGGATATAGGGCTGCGTGGAAGGGCCCTAGGACTTCAGCGACCTGTCGAAGCCTGTCAGAGGTGCCTACCTTAGACCCTTCCACACAGCCCTTTATCCCAGAATATCATGTAGAAAATCTCACAATATCTGCTTTGAACTGGATTATCTGAGCCCACACTCCCACACTCAGATAATGTGGGATTTTCTGCCTTGATATTCTGGGATATAGGGCTGTGTGGAAGGACACCTTGAGCCCCAAGTCTACACTGCCATATAATCTAGTTCAAAACAAATAATTGGGATTTCATATGCAGAAAGCGCCTCATAGACTGATCAGGAGAGAGCTCTTTCACACATTCATATGGCCCAGAATTTGAAGGAGTTCACACTGCCATATAATCCAGTTCAACGTAGATTTTAAATAGCTGTGTAAAATAAACCAGCATCACCCTGCTCCAAAATAGTGGGGAAACCTTGGTTCATTGAATATCTATTATTAGGGTTGCCAGAGTATAAACTGGAAAGTGCTCTTAGACCTTTAATGGTTGTACAGAAGAGGGAATTTTAACAGGTATTGCATGTTTTCCTGGGTGTGTGGCCTAAGATATCTACTGAAGTTTCCTCTTCTATATGGTCCCTTCCAACAACTCTATAAAATCCACATTGAACTGGATTATATGGCAGTGTGGACTCAGATAATCCAGTTCAAAGCAGATATTGTGGATGATCTGCCTTGATATTCTGTCTTGTATGGCTATGTGAAAAGGCCCTACAACCATTAAAAGTCCAGGAATCTTTTCCAGTTTTCAATCTAGCCACCCTAAATAATTAACAGATCCCCAAAACAGCTCATTCTTCCAAATTGGTCCACACTAAGGCTGCTTGATTGCTATTGTAGCAATACATCTAGAAAAGTTTTATCCTGGTCAAGTGAATAGGGAAGAATGTACCATTCTTTTCTTCATAAGGTTCAGCTATCACCATATATTACCTGGTATAAATTGGGAGGATCTCATTGGCTGCTGTTGGAAATTGAGAGAAGGGATTTCTCTCCCTCCGAAAAGTAATTCTTAATTGCATCCAATAAATTGTCTTGGGAAGCAGCCAGGAAAATGTTGTTCAAGGAGTGCGAGGTGGAGAGAGCATACAAATATAAACATGATTTGGAATGCAAGGAATGAATGCATATACAGGTAGTCCCCAAGTTACAAACAAGATTTATTTTTAAGTTGAATGTGTATGTAAGTCAGAACAGGTATATTTTTGAAATGTAACTTTAGCATCTCTCTCTATATATGTGTGTGTGTGTGTGCTTTTGATAGCACATGGAAGGTTTAATATCCCTGTGGTGTTTGTTTTGCTGTCTGTGCCTCTGTCCAGAAGATTTCACCTCACATTCTGTCCCTGTGAGAATTAGATTTTAGAAGATTTGCCATCAATTCTCTCATCACATCTTTTTTCTGACAGTCTTTGTCCCCTCCCAACTCCACAGATGATCCAGACAAGTCGGACGCTAATTGAGTCAGCAGATGCTGTTCATGCCAAGATTATCCAGGTGCAACAAACAGGTAAGAGGACATCCATCACCACCTCCTTCCTTTTATAAATGCAGACGTTCTTATGACTTCTGGTTAATTCCATCCGTATCTCTCAGTTTTCCATACCCACAAATCTGGGAATAAGCCCTATTGAATTTAAGGCCCATCCACACTGCCCTATATTCCAGGATCTGATCCCAGATTATCGGCTGTAAACTGGAATTCATGAGTCTCCACTGCCAGATATTCTGGGCTAAGCAAATAATCTGGGATCAGATCCTGGGATATAGGGGAAGTGTGGAAGGGCCTTAAGTGGGACAGAAGACTCTCCAGTGCCATAGAATCACAGATTCATAGAGTTGAAAAGTACCATCCAGGCCAACCCACTAACATGCAGCAAAAGCATAATCAAAGCACCCCCTATAGATGGCCATCCAGCTCCACCACACTCCGAGGCTCCAACAGCAACCATGGCAATTTTGGGATGAACTCTTATCTTTTTGTTCAGTGAATGCAAAGATGAGAAGAAAAGACATTTGCACCCAAAATTTGCCTTCCACAATGTATACAATGAATGAATCCTGTACTAGAGGGATAGAAAAAATGGCAGGCATAGCCCCATCATACCTGGCCTAGAAGCTGACCTTAGAGAAGAACCAGTATTTGCTGGACCTAACACCCTTCCCCAATCCCTTTTTTTTGGCATCATGTCTTTTAGATTGTTAATCTGAAGATACTTATCTGTCAAATTAACAATTTTAAACCACTCATGTAAAGTAAACAGGGTGCTATAGAAATGCATACGATCATAATGATAACAACAACAACAGCAATAAACAGACCACCCTATCAGTGCTATAGTTGGAAGACAGAACTAGACAGAGTGGAGAATGGAACAGTGTAGAATGGATACAATATTTATTTATTTATTTATTTATTTATACGCTTGTATACCGCTAATATCTCAGCCTAAGTCGGCGACTCATTGCGGTTTACAACATTTAAAAAACAGTATTCAGTTTAAAAGCATAAAACACATATACAATACAAATTATTGGGCCACCAATAATAATCCCATGCATCTCATAACTGGAATCGCAGTCCAAAATTCATCGTCCATGATTACCAATCCTTTAGTCATCAAAATTCGTTGCAACGGATTAACCGAATGCTTGTTTAAACATCCATGTCTTCAATCTCTTCCGAAACACCATCAGCGAGGGGGCTGATCGTACCTCTATGGGGAGGGTGTTCCAAAGCCGAGGGGCCACCACAGAAAAGGCCCTGTCTCTCGTTCCCGCCAGCCGCACGTGTGAAGCCGGCAGGATAGAGAGCAGGGACTCCCCAGAAGACCTTAGGGTCCTGGTGGGCTGATAGGCTGAGATACGTTCGGATAGATAAGTTGGGCCAGAACCGTTTAGGGCTTTAAAGGCCAACGCCAGCACTTTGAATTGAGCCCGGTAGCAGATCGGCAGCCAGTGGAGCTGGTGCAGCAGAGGAGTTGTATGCTCCCTGCGCCCCGCTCCTGTTAGAATCATGGCTGCCGCCCGTTGGACTAATTGGAGCTTCCGGGCTGTCTTCAAAGGCAACCCCACGTAGAGAGCGTTGCAGTAGTCAAGACGGGATGTAACCAGAGCGTGGACTACCGTGGCCAAGTCAGACTTCCCAAGGTACGGTCGCAGTTGGCGCACAAGTTTTAACTGTGCGAATGCCCCTGGTCACCGCCGAAACCTGGGGTTCCAGGCTCAGCGATGAGTCCAGGATCACACCCAAACTGCGAACCTGCGTCTTCAGGGGGAGTGCGACCCCGTCTAACACAGGCTGTAACCCTATACCCTGTTCGGCCTTGCGACTAACCAGGAGTACCTCTGTCTTGTCTGGATTCAATTTCAATTTGTTCGCCCCCATCCAGACCGTCACAGCGGCCAAGCACCAGTTCAGGACCTCGACAGCCTCCTTAGTAGCAGGTGGAAAGGAGTGACAGAGTTGGACATCATCTGCGTACAGATGACATCGCACTCCGAAACTCCGGATGATCTCGCCCAGCGGCTTCATTTAGATGTTAAACAACATGGGAGACAGTATTGAACCCTGAGGAACCCCACAAGACAAAGGTTGTGGGGTTGAACAGGAGTCTCCCAGTAACACCTTCTGAGACCGACCCTCGAGGAATGAGCGGAGCCACTGCAGAACAGTACCTCCAAGACCCATCCCCGCGAGGCGTCCCAGAAGGATACCGTGGTCGACGGTATCGAAGGCCGCTGAGAGGTCCAGCAGCACCAACAGGGACACACTCCCCCTGTCGAGCTCCCGACGCAGATCATCCACTAAGGCGACCAAGGCTGTCTCGGTACCATGCCCCGGCCTAAAGCCAGACTGTGCCGGATCCAGATAATCCGTGTCTACCAAGAATGCCTGGAGTTGTGAGGCCACCACACGTTCCATGACTTTGCCCAAAAAGGGGAGATTGGAAACAGGCCGATAGTTGACGAATTGAGTGGGGTCCAGTGCATGGTTTCTTCAACAGCGGTTTTATCACAGCTTGCTTTAAGCTGGCTGGAATTTTGCCCTCCCGAAGGGAGGCATTAACCACCACCTTCACCCACTCGGCCAATCCCCCTCTGGCCTCCTTCAGAAGCCAGGATGGGCAGGGGTCTAGGATGCATGTGGTAGCTCTCATTCCTCCAAGCACCTTGTCCACATCCTCGGATTGAACCAATTGAAATGAATCCATCAAAACCGGACAAGCAGATGCTCGTGTTACATCCTCAGATACTGCCGTTAATATGGTATCCAGTCCAGAGCGGATCAAAGCGACTTTGTCTGCGAAGAACCGAGCAAAAGCTTCGCAGCGAGCTGCCGAGTCATCAGGGCACCCATCCTGAGTGGCGGGTTTTAATAGGCCTCTGACAACTCGGAACAGTTCAGCCGGACGGTTCTTTGCAGACGCAATAGTGGCCGCAAAGAAAGTCTTCTTTGCGGCTTTTATTGCCGCGGCATATGCCCTTAAAAAGGACACAAACCGTGTTCGATTTGGCTCGCTCGGATCCGAACGCCACACGCTCTCTAGTTCCCTCTTCTTTCGCTTCAACGCTGCCAGCTCCTCGGTGAACCAAGGAGCTGGTTTAGCTCGGCTACTTGAGTGGGGACGTTCTGGAGCAATCGTGTCTATTGCCCTAGTCATCTCCCCATTCCAGAGAGCGACCAGAGCATCAACAGGATCACCAACCGAGGTGGCGGGAAATTCCCCAAGAGCCGTCAGGAATCCATCCGGATCCATAAGCCTCCTGGGGCGGACCAATTTAATGGGTCCTCCACCTCTGCGGAGGTTAGGGGGTGCAGTGAGTCTAAAGCTGACCAGGTGGTGGTCGGTCCATGGCAACGGAGAGATGGATAACTCCTCAACACCGCCACCTTCCTCCCATCCCTGACAGAAAACCAAGTCCAATGTATGTCCAGCACTGTGGGTGGGGCCAGATACCTGTTGGGACAGCCCCATGGTTGCCATTGTAGACATGAAGTCCTGAGCCGCTCCCAATAAGGCGGCCTCGGCATGGACATTGAAGTCCCCCAGCACAAGCAGCCGTTGGGACTCCAATGCCAGGTCCGAGACCACCCCCGCTAGCTCAGTCAGGGAGACTGTAGTGCAGCGAGGTGGACGGTACACTAACAGAATCCCTAATCTGTCCCGGTCACCCACCCTCAGGTGGACGCATTCAAAATTTGTTGACTGCGGGATGGGGCCCCTGGTCAGAAGAATGGAATCTCTATAGACCACTGCAACTCCGCCTCCCCGCCCTCCGGATCTCGGTTGGTGCTGCACAGAGAAACCTGGTGGGCAAAGCTGGGTTAAATTTACACCTCCTGCTTCGTCCAACCAGGTCTCTGTGATGCACGCCAGATCTGCCCGTTCATCCAGGATTAAATCCTGGATGAAAGTTGTTTTACCGTTGACAGATCTGGCGTTCAACAGCACCACTTTCAATTCGGAGGGACCGCCATCCTGGTTACACCGACTTACCATATCAGGAGACCGACTTGGGATTACTAATGTTGTTCCACATTCCCTAGGCCGAATTAAAGGTCTCCTTTTCCCGTATCTCCCCCTCCCCACCACGACTTCTATGGGGGCTCCCCGGTTAACGGAACCCTCTCCCTCCTCCATGACACATTCGGCAGCCAAACTATCTACCCATAATTCATTGTTGACTGTATGGTTTGTTATAGTTCCAGGATGCCATAGTCCTGCCTTTCGTTCATTTCCTACTCCTATTATGTTAAACTCCAGTCTTTCTAATCTACTCCATTCCCCTTCTCTACCAAAAACAATTAGCAGCAAGATTAACAGATGCCAGGGAAAGGGTAGTGACATGGATGGTAGCTATTAACACTGTCAAAGGAGTTCTTAAAGTGCAGGAGTTAAAGTGCAGGAGTTCTTAGAATGCAGATAGATAATTGTATCAGCATACACGATGGTATAGATAATTAAAGTGCAATAGCTTGGTCAATTGGCTCTAAAGTGCTCAATTAAAGTGCGTCATGGAGGACTGAATTCAATGCTAGACGGTTGAGTCGATTAAAGTGCTAAGGCTCAGTAAAGCTAACAAATCACTGAGATAGTAAGTTAAGGTGCTGTTAGAGTAAAGTGCTAGAATCACACAGGATATTTGTCCACTATGCTTACTAACGGTGCAACAATTAGTTCTTAAATTCTCCGTTCAGTCAGCACAATGGTCAGCACAATCAAAGACGGTGGTCAGCACAGTCAGAAATGGACAGCACAATCAAGGGAGGTCAACACAGATGAAGATAGTCAGCACAATCAAAAGAGATGGTCCACACAATTAAAGGAGGTCAACACAGACGGATAACGATGGTCAATATAATCTGTCCAAAATTGGGAACCATGAGATGCCAGAGGATGGTAATAATCAGGCCAAAAGGTGGTCAACACAATCTTCCGGAGTTGATGGTTACCAAACGAGGTGATGGAATCTCGTGCGATGGCGGCAGATTAATCCCGGGAGGGCGAGGGGAGCTGGAGCGCTGGAGGCCGGCACATCAGAGGTCGGCGCGGTGGAAGAGCTCAACTGAGTGCTAGGCCGGACAGCTGGGCTGGAGCTGGGGTGCCGGGAGGAACGCGGAAGGACAGAAGACAAGCGCGCTAGAGGCCGGCGCACCGGCCAACGCGATGGAAGGCTCCGCGATGGAAGGCTCCGTTGAACGCTAGGCCGGACGGTAGCAGCGGCCGCTGGGCCCAGCAGCCGCTGGGCTGGAGCTGGAGCGCCGGGGGGCACTTGCGTCTGGAGGCGCTGAGGATCACAGGATCACAGGGCGCTAGAGCGCCGGAATAGCAGGCTGTCAGCTGGAAACAGCGGGGCGTCAGCTGGAAACGGGCCGAATAGCAAGCTCGCATCGGCGACAATGGCGGCCCCGGCAGCCCCCGACTGCAGCACAGGCCGCACAAGCACTGCAGGCCCCTCAGGCATCCACCAGAGCCAGCAGCGACGGGGCGGCAGCCAGGCAAGGCCGCAAAGCAAGGCCGCGAAGCAGGCCGCCAGGCGGGGTCGCGAAGCAGCCCACTGGGTTGTCCGTCAAGCCGTCGCTCAGTGGTATGGCGGTGGACCGGCGCTCCAATCCAAGCCAAGTAAGAATGGAGAGAGCAGGATAGCACCGGTCCCCCTCTCAAGCGGCCACAATCCCGTCGGCAGCGTCGGCAGCGTCGGCAGCGTCCAAAAGAGCCAATAATGGCGGCAATAGAGCCAATATTGGCAATAGAGCCAATAATGGCGGCCACCCAGTCGCTCTACCTCCCTTCTTCTCCAAACCTCATTCAGCTCTTCCTTCGTCAATGCTCCTCCAGTTTGACTCCCCAAGGCCACCTCCGTGACCCTAGTTTGTCAATGGTAAAGGAGCAGGTTTCAAGGGCTCCGGGTGGCAAGGTTTGGCTTGATTAAGTCCGATTTTAAGTTCTTTCCCTACCGGAGCAGAGGAGTAAAGCAATAGAGTAATACGTCACTGTTTTACTCACAGCATGCTGTCTCTACTCCTCTCCACACACCATCCCTCATTTACTAATAAAGCTTCATGAATCTCTTCTCTTCTTTTGTTGTTTTAAAAAGAGAAAGTTTGTTGTTTTAAGAAGAAATGTGGTCGGCGTTTTTGCCATATAGGCAAGGCAGCAAAGTAAATAGCCTTGGACGCTTCTCAGCCTCTCCGGTTTCGCTAATTGCTCCAATAAACTGCCTTGAGCCCCTAGATCAGTGGTTCTCAACCTGTGGGTCCCCAGGTGTTTTGGCCTACAACTTCCAGAAGTCCCAGCCAGTTTGCCAACTGATAGGAGTTCTGGGAGTTGAAGCCCAAAACATCTGGGGATCCAAAGGTTGAGAACCGCTGCCCTAGATCAAGAAAAAGGCAGGATTAAAGAAAGAAGATAAATAAGTTCTATTACCCTTGAATATGTTGGAGGGGTTTTTTTTAGTTTTTTTTTAAAGTATGGTGTATTTTTAAATGATGCCTTACCCATTATAGCAGTAGTTTCCAACCTGTGGTCCATGGACCACCAGTGGTCCCCAAGAACTAAAATATGGTCTGCGACTTCACTGTTACTGAACCATTGCAACGAGAGCAACTGGTTTCACAAAACCCTCTTATAGTGCCGAGGCAATGGGAATTTTTTTTTGTCATGTCAGGAGCGACTTGAGAAACTGCAAGTCGCTTCTAGTGTGAGAGAATTGGCTGTCTTCAAGGATGTTGCCCAGGGGATGGCCGGATGATTTTTGATGTTTTTATCATCCTTGTGGGAGGCTTTTGTCATGTCCCCGCATGAGGAGCTGGAACTGATAGAGGGAGCTCATCCGCCTCTCCCTGGATTCGAACCTGCGCCCGGCACAGGGGTTTAACCCACTGCGCCACCAGGGACTCCTTGGCAATGGGAATGTCAGGAGGAGAGAGGCTGACAACCCACAAAAGGAATGACAACAAGCCTCCTGACTGCTGCTTCACCTCCTCCTCCTTGCTCCTCTCAAGGAGAGATGTTCCATGTGGCACCTGGGAACAGGTGTGCCTTGGTATCTTCATTTTTAGGCCTGTTCCTGGGATTATTTGGGGGTGCTGATTCAGAAAATTTCATTGGATAGACCATGCCAGCTCCAGATTATTAAATATGGTTTTCTGTCAGCAAGCAGATGGCAACTACTGGATAGCATATGTTCTGTATCAGAAACTAGAGCTGATGTGGTCTATCCAATGCAATTTTCTGAATCAGCACCCCAAATAACCATACTGAATCTATAGTTGACCAAAAACTGATTTGTAACCTTTTTGGTACTAATGTTGGAGAGTGGTCCCTGGTCAAAGTGGCCCCTGGTTAAAAAAAAAAAAAGATTGGGAACCACTGCATTATAGCCTTCTGCTGTACACATTCTGAAGATTTCTGTAGCTATTTTTCTTAGCTGACATTTTTTAAAGCAGCAAGATACATTAGGGAAAGCTGGAGAAACAGTTTACCACACACCATAGTGTCATAAAAACACACATCTTTCATACCATCTCTGGCATCCTGCAGTCAGGGATGTCTCCAATCTCTGCTACAGTTTCTAGGGTTTCTCTGCAATTGATTGTGTAAGCGCATAAGAGTGTCTTTCAATTTTCTAAACACAACACATTGGAAGCATTAATTATTTTTGGCTTGCAGCTCTCAAAATTTCCTCGTCATAAGTCATTTTTGTAGTTCAAAAAGTAACTTTTGTTATCTCTGCTGCAGCCTCAATTATGGTCTAATCTAGTAATAATAATAATAATAATAATAATAATAATAATAACAACAACAACACTTTATTTGTACCCCTCTACCATCTCCCCAAGGGACTCGGTGCAGCTTACATGAGGCAAAGCCCGCAATACATCAATAAACAAAACATCAATAAAATAAAACATCAATAAACGATCAATACAATATAAATCATAAATCACATAAACAAAATAGACAATAAGCAATCAACAGTAACATATAAGCATTTAAAACCAATGGCTGGGCCAAATGTGATAGATTAAAATTAAAAAATAATGCTGATGTGAACAAGGTAGGATATAATTGGGATAGGATTTTCAGAGAGAATGAGGGAACGCAGTCAATCCTAAAGCAGTAGTAAAGTGCATTTTGAGGACATGATGCTGAGAGTTTTCCTTATTCTGGGAAGGTACACTGGAATAACCACGTTTTCAAGCTCCTTCTAAAGACTACCAGAGTTGGGGCATGTCTGATGTCTCTGGGAAGTGAGTTCCAGAGTCGGGGGGCCACCACCAAGAAGGCCCTCTCCCTCGACCCCACCAATCGCACCTGCAAAAGAGGTGGGAGCATGAACAGGGTCTCTCCAGATTATTGAAGAGATCGTGTGGGTTCGTATATAGAAATGCGGTCACACAGGTAGGCGGGTCCCAAACCGTTCAGGGCTTTGTAGGTAAGAACCTGCACCTTGAATTGGGACCAGAAAATGAATGGCAGCCAGTGGACCTCCTTAAACAGGAGGGTTGATCGCTTTCTGTAAGGAGCACCAGTTGGCTGCCGCCTGTTGTACCAATTGAAATTTCTGGGCCGTTTTCAAGGGCAGCCCCATGTAGAGTGCATTACAGTAGTCCAATCTGGAGGTGACTAAGGCATGGACCACCCTGGCCATGAATTCTCAAACTGTCTGATATTTCTCCCATATTAACACAGTTTCATGGGAACTTGTTGCAAAGCAGCATCTATCTTTGGACCACCATGATGAGCAGGATCGATCATACCTAGATTAGAAGGTGACAGGCCTCTGTCTCACTTCACTTTATCTCTCTTCCCACTCCTTCTGTCTTCTCATTTCTCCAGGGATGGGTTTTCACAAGGAGCTGCATCGCTTGGAAACAAAGGAAGGCCTGAAAGGACGGAAGATGCAGAAAGCTCTAGAAAGTTTTGCCTGGAATATTACCGTTCTCAAGGTAATTAAGAGGAACATTATTACAGGGGTGAGGAACCTCATGCTCTAGGATCAATGTTTGAGTCCCAATTAAGACTTTGTGGATTTCCCAACATTTATTTATTTCTCCCAGAGTGGGACCCAAAGTGCCGAAAACAATAACAAAATCCATATTCTCGTGGCCTCTTTGCCATGACCCTATTTTTGATTGCTTTCCTGGCTTTTGAGCAGGGCTATTTCCCCTTTGAAAAGGTTGATGTCAATTTCCAAGAGGACAAATTTTTGTCTTTGGTCCTGTGTACCATTCCCCCATGCTCCACTCTTCTGAAAATGAATGCTTTATGGTGTGCTTTATGGTGTGTGCTTTATGGTGTGAATTATACGTGAGATATTTCCGTCAGTTAGCATCCTGTGGCTAGGATTTCACCTTTAAAAATAAGAACAGAGGTACAAATACTTCTCAGGGCCCTTCCACACAGAAAATCAAAGCAGATAATCCAGAATGTCTGCTTTGAACTGGATTATCTGAGTCCACGCTGCCATATAATCCAGTTCAATGTGGATTTTATACAGCTGTGTGGAAAGGGCTCCGTGTTCATAAAGGATATCTGCTAGGGCTGGGCGGTTTCGTTTCGTAATTTCGTAATTCATTAAAAATTCGTTATTTTTTTTTATAATGAAGCGATATTGAACCATTCAGGAGCAACTAAAAAACGAAACGAATTTTTCCAATTCGTTTCGGAATTATTTCGTTACTGTTTCGTTATTGATTCATTATTGATTCGTAAATGTTTCGTTATTATTTCCGCATGTCTGGTGCAAGTTTTAGGGTTGCTGTTTGTTTTCTCAGTGAAAAAAAATATAATTATCACACCAACAGTCAACAACAGAGGGAGAGGGAAGCTTCAGAAGTTTTTTTAGCGTATTGCGCGATCGCGGCCGCCATTAACGAATCGATTCGTAATCGATTCGTAATTGTTTCGTAATTGTTTTATGATTTCCGAAATTTCGTAAATATCGAACTTTTTTTAAGGAAAATTTCGGAATTCTTTTAAATAACGAAACGCAAAAAAACCCTAAAAACGAATCGAGTTTAGAAACAAATTTTTCTGTGTTTGGACAGCCCTAATATCTGCCTCAAAGGGCTTTAGGGAGATTCCGAGATGCGTAATCCAAAATAGTAATTTCTCCATGCTCTAGAGCAGGGGTTCTCAAACTAATGCCCCCGAGGGCCGAATATGGCTCTCCAAGGTTATTTACCTGGCCCTCGCTCAGGTGGTGGTTGTGAGAGTGGCCCAGCATTTCTGTGTTCCCAAATAATATGCTGTGTCCAGGTTGGTTCATCAGGTGCTCTGCTATGGCTGATTTCTCTGGTTGAAGTAGTCTGCAGTGCCTTTCATGTTCCTTGATTCGTGTTTGGGCGCTGCGTTTGGTGGTCCCTATGTAGACTTGTCCACAGCTGCATGGTATACGGTAGACTCCTGCAGAGGTGAGAGGATCCCTCTTGTCCTTTGCTGAACTACAGAAATGCTGGACCACTCTCACAACCACCATGTCAGACTACACAGAGAAGCCATTGAAATACACAAGCATGTGGACAATTTCAACAGAAAGGAGGAAACCATGAAAATGAACAAAATCTGGCTACCAGTATTAAAAAACTCTAAAATTACAAATCAAATCATTTATTTCGGTCATTGACCAGCAAAGAAAATAGTCACATTTTCATACAAGCTTGGTATGTTTGGTACATTAAAAATATAAATATAACGACTGAAGCACAATATGGGTGAGGGAGCAGAAGGGAAGAGGAAACAGGGTAAAAACATACAATGCCCAGATCCATCACCAAATTGTAGATTCAGAGAAGGAGATTACTGGACACACAGTTAACTTTTGGGACTAGTCATTCCCTGACGGATTTTGTATGCTGCTGCACAGAACTTTGCAACATTGTAGGTTGTAGCTGAATTAATATCTGCAAGTAGCATGGAGGTATAAAATTGTCCTGAATGGCCTGGGTGCTTGTATAACAGAGGTAAGATAAGCCTGGCATGGATATCCCTGTAGAACGGGCACTGAAGGAGCACATGTTCTATTGTTTCTACATGACCCGAGTCACAGGGGCAGAGTCTCTCTGGGAAAGGGATCTTCTGGTAGCGGCCTTCGAGTACAGCTGATGGGAAAGCGTGGCATCGAGCCAGGGTGAAAGCCCTTCTATGAATAGGAACCTTTAAGTTTGTTAAATATGCCATAGGGGAGGCAAGATATCTGCTGTCTATTAAAAATTACAACAGCACAACAACAGAGAGGAAACAAACAAGGACATCTAATCACCTCTCAACAAAAGATTGCTCCAGGCACTGCCAGGCAATCATGCTAATCAAGGTGGTCAGTTGAAACATTCACACCTAGCTTCAGCAGACAAGAGTCCTTTGTCCCCCCTGGTCATTCCACAGATATATAAACGCTTTTCCTAGTTCCAACAGACCTCACTACCTGTGAGGATGCTTGCCATAGATGCAGGCAATACGTCAGGAGAGAAAGCCTCTAGAACATGACCATTTAGCCTGAAAAAACCTACAACAACCCAGTGATTCCGGCCATGAAAGCCTTCAACAATACATTGAACAAAAATCCTATCTCATCAGCAAAAAGCAGGCCCACACTTCTCACTGAGTTTATATTTGTTAAAATTGTTTTTCCTTTTAATTATTGCATTGTTTTTAACTGTTTTTTGCACTACAAATAAGACATGTGTGCAATGTGCATAGGAATTCATTCATATTTTTTTTTCAAATTATAATCCGGCCCTCCAACAGTTTGAGGGACTGTTACCTGGCCCTCTGTTTGAAAACTTTGAGGACCCCTGCTCTAGAGGTCTGTATTGGCTGGGCAAGGAACACTTCTCACAGGCGGACCACTTTCTGGGAATTAGCAGATTCTGCCGGGAACAGCTCTCTGAGATGGCACAATTGAAGGAACAAGCTGGAAAGACTCCACATTGTGGCACTGCTCCTAACCTGTCTTATCGTAAGCATCTTTCTCAGAGCTGGATTAAACGTTAAGCAAAATAAGCACGTGCTTAGGGTATCAAGGAAAAGGGGGCACCACAGAAGTTTTCCATTGCTGGATTTGCCATGGGCCGTATGGTGAAAGGCTGCATATGATGCAGCTGAACCAGGTTCCACGAAAAAGGCTCCAAAATTACAAAAATTAGGAGAAAAAAATTCCAATATAAATGAAGTAGAAATATATAAAAATAAACATTATCTTGCATCTTACTGTAAGCTTTGTTTATATATAGAGAAGGGGGGGGGTTATATTTTGAATTGGACACCTCAATCCTTAAGTGCTTAGGGTATTTAAAAGTCTTAATCCAACCCTGCTTAGAACTGTCTGAGACACCCCAGGGCTTTCTGGGGTTCTCTTTTTCTCTAGGCCCTTACACACAGCCCTATATTCCAGAATATCAAGGCAGAAAATCCCACATTATCTGCTTTGAACTGGAATATATGGCAGTGTAAACTCAGATAACACAGTTCAAAGCAAACATTGTTGGATTTTCTGCCTTAATATTCTGGTATATAGGGCTGTGTGGAATCGCCCTCTGTTACAAAACACCTTCACCCTAACCTTGCTTAAGTTGACCAAAACTCAAGCTGGGAAAGGTTCCTTTCACCTTACCAGCCTAGAAGCCAGTAACTCTGGGAAATTCTGATGTTCTTACTGCAAATAACATTTTCAAGTTACGTTCTTTTGAAGATTAATTGTTTGTGAGTTTGAGTACAGTTTGGTTTGGAGCACTATCACCTTTTTTTTTTTTTTTTTGCCCAGCAAGGTAAATTCACACTGACACCCTGTTAGTGACATATGTGCACACTTGTGCAGCTTACATGAAGATATTCTTTTTTCTGGATGAATATCAGAGGGCTATTTGTCAGCCCTTTAACTATCCAAAACTTTTCCTTCAGCTATTGTCAGACAACGAAGGAGCCACTGCTTCTGCTTCTTACTAGTGGGATGGGAAGAGGGAGGCACTTCAGGCAACAAAAATGCGGCAGTGATCTGGGAATGGGAAGAGAAAAAAGGCTGCATTCTCCAAAGGCATGCACTTCCATTTTTTGTTCCTTTACAGCCGAAATCAGCTGCTTGTTCCTCCTATTTTGCCCAGTACTGTCCTGAAGCAAGCATACAGATCAATATTCCCTAATATATCTCTATACTAGATACAGAATGGGGGACGATGCCTGGCTCGAGAGCAGTATGTGTGAAAAAGATCTTGGAGTCCTCGTGGACAACAAGTTAAACATGAGCCAACAATGTGGCAAAAAAAAGCCAATGGGATTTTGGCCTGCATCAATAGGAGCATAGTGTCTAGATCTAGGGAAGTAATGCTACCCCTCTATTCCGCCTTGGTTAGACCACACCTGGAATATTGTGTCCAATTCTGGGCACCACAATTGAAGAGAGATGTTGACAAGCTGAAATGTGTCCAGAGGAGGGCGACTAAAATGATCAAGGGTCTGGAGAACAAGCCCTATGAGGAGCGGCTTAAGGAGCTGGGCATGTTTAGCCTGAAGAAGAGAAGGCTGAGAGGAGATATGATAGCCATGTATAAATATGTGAGAGGAAGTCACAGGGAGGAGGGAGCAAGCTTGTTTTCTGCTTCCCTGGAGACTAGGACGTGGAACAATGGCTTCAAACTACAAGAAAGGAGATTCCATCTGAACATGAGGAAGAACTTCCTGACTGTGAGAGCCATTCAGCAGTGGAACTCTCTGCCCCGGAGTGTGGCGGAGGCTCCTTCTTTGGAGGTTTTTAAACAGAGGCTAGATAGCCATCTCTCAGGGGTGATTTGAATGCAATATTCCTTCTTCTTGGCAGGGGGTTGGACTGGATGGCCCATGAGGTCTCTTCCAACTCTATGATTCTATGATTCTAGGGGATATTGCTCTGTATACTTGATTTTGTAGAGTCCACTGTGATGCAGTGCATTAAACTGCTAAGCTGCAGAACTAG